GCGCGGCTCACAGTGCGCCCCGGGACAAGCGCGGCCGCCCCTTCGTCCACCTGGCGAGCCGCCAGCTTGCGCGTTCGCTCCGCCTCCGTCGCCTCCTTGTGCGCCGCGAGCCGCCGCCTCAGCTCCTGATCCTCCTCCTCGGCCTTGGCCTTGGCCGCGGCGGCCGCCTCGGCGGCCACCTGCTCCGCCGTCGGGACGAATGCGGGCGCCTTTGGCGACAGCGACACCGTCTTGGCCGGCTGGAGGACGATCGTCTTCTGGCGTGCCCCCGCCTGCTGGGTGGCCGGCGGCGACACCCTCTTTGGCGGCGCCAGCTGCGCCTTGCGCTGCTCCGCCTCCCTGGCCTCCGCGTCGGCGGCGTCCTTGGCGGCCTGCGACAGTCGCATCCGCATCTCGGGGTCCTCTGCAGAGAGCAGGTCGGGGCCAAACCACTCGATGAGCTTCTGGACCCCGACGTCCACCACGAAGCGGCTCACGCCGATGACCTGCACCCGCTGGTACTGATAGCCTGCGACCGGACCCGAGATGTGCAGCTCCGCGCCCGTCTGCTGCTGCAGCGCGATCTGGTGCGAGTGGTTCTTGCCGAGGAGGATGCCCGCCTTGTCGGACGCGACGGTGAAGACGCCCCAATGCGACGGAGTGTCCGGCTCAGCCCGGCGTGTCGGCAACAGCGACGCCTCGCGCTCGGCGCGTGCTGCGCGCGCCGCGCGTGCAGCCGCCTGCTGCCGTGCCTCGTACTCCTTTAGCCGCTGCGGGTCAGAGAGGATGCCGTAGGCCTCATTGACCGCGGCGAGAGCCGTCTCCGACCCCGGCACCACCGGCTTCGACGGGTCGAGCAGCGACGACAGGTACTGGTGCTGCGCCTTGAGCGGGTTGGTCGAGGGCGGCAAGTCCCCCGCGGCACCCATGACGCGGCGCGGGTCGCTGTCGGCCGCCTTGATGGCTTCGATCGCCATCCCCGCCTCGATCACGCGCACCCTCTCTGCCTCCACCGCCTCCATGCGCGCTACCTCGGCCGCTGCCGCCTCTTCGGCGGCCCTGCGCGCAGCCTCAGCCGCGGCAGCCTCCGCAGCAGCGATGCGCGCCGCCTCAGCCGCAGCCGCCTGCTCCGCGGCGATGCGCGCCCTCTCCGCAGCGGCGGCGGCAGCCCGCGCCTCCGCCCGGCGCGCTACCGCGGCCTCCTGCTCCGCGGCAGCCCTGCGCAAGCGCTCAGCCTCGGCAGCCCTGCGCAAGCGCTCAGCCTCCCGCTCGCTCTCGGTAGGCGCAAGCCTCACCGCTTGGCCGACGATCTCGAACGTCTCGGGCCACTGCCGGAGCCACTTCGACAACCCACCCGCCGCCGAGACCTCATCCCGCGACTCGTTGCCCCCAGACGCGTAGAGCGCCGCACCAAACTGAGTCAACGGCATCATCGGCTCGCCCGACTCCGCAATGACGGCGGCGGCGACGTCTTCAAGGCCCCTCCTTGCGGCGGTGGCGTTGGTAGCGCCTCCCTCGGGCCACTCTGCCAGCTCGACCAGCATCTCGCCCCTGTTCTTGGACTCCAGCCAAGGCACGAGGCGGAGCGAGCTCATCTCGCTGACGAGCCCTCGCAGCCCGAGGCTGGAGTCGCCGAGGGTATGCAAGCGAACCTCGGACGGGCGGCGGCAGAAGGCCTTGTGCCGACTAAGCAGCTGCCCGAGTGGCACTCCACGCCCCTCCTCTCGCAGCATGCCGGCCACCTCGGCCTCGAGCTTGCCCCTCGGCGACAGAGAGATGCTGACGCGCGGCTGCTGCCCCTGCAGGGCGAAGTCGGCGGGCCACTGTGCGAGCCACTTTCCGAGCCCGCCCTTTTTCTTGACCGCCGCCGTGATTGCGTCCCGCGCATGCGAATCCGCGAACTGGTCAGCAGCATCTCGGGCCAGTCGTTGACCCAGCTCGGTCAGCAGCATCTCGGGCCCGTCGCGCATCAGCGTCTGCCCGACCCACGCCTGGAGATGGCGGGGAGGGGAAGAGGGGGTGAGGGGAGGGGGGGGGGGCGTGAGAGGCATGGGGACGCGTGCGACCTTGAGGCTCAGCTCTGTTAGCTGCCCCAAGCCGCCTTGCTGGCTGCCCCCGCCTCCGGCTCCGCTGCTGCTCGCCGCACCCGATGCAGGCGCCGACGGCGCGGTCTCGGCGGGGGGAGGCCCAGGACCCTTCCACTGCGCGGGCTTCACGACGACTGAGCGCCCGTGCATGACTGGCGGCCTGTTGCCCGCCTTGAGGTGCGCGAGGAGCGCCGTGACGCTGGAGGAGTGCTCGAAGTTGACGAAGGCGTAGCCCTTGTCCGAGTAGACCACCTTTGCAACCCCTCCCCACTCAGAGAAGATGCGGACCAAGTTCTCCTTCTGCGCCGCGGGGTCTAGTCCACTGCCGACGGAGCCCACCCACACCGAGAGCGGGTTGAGCACCAGCTGGGGCTTGGCCGGCTCCGCCTCGGTCGCCGCCTCTTCGCCGATCTAGAGTACGAACGCGCGGAAAGAGGGTCGGATACGGGACTGAGTATGAGGGCTCCGTGTGCCGAGGCCAGTCTGCGAGCCCGACGGAGCACAGTCGAATGCGTGGTTGTCTCGGGTGCTGGCTGGAGTGCAGGGGGTGGTACTCCGCATCTAGGCCCGCGCGCCTCCGCGTCCCACGAGAGGGCCGTGTACCCGAGCGCCAGCGCGGACGCCTGCTCGCGCGCGTCCAGGCGGCTGAAGCGGCGCTCGCATGCCTCTGGCGCGTCGCCGGCGTCCCAGCTCGTCGCGTTGTACCCGAGGGCCATCGCGGACTGCTTCTCCTTCTCGTTCAGCGCCGCCCACGTATCCTTGTCCTTGCCAAGCGTCCTGCCCGCGGCGGCGGCGGCGGGCAAGGCCGGTGCCGGTGCAGGCGCAGGCGCGGGCGCGGGCGCGGGCATGGCGGCAGGCGGAGGGATCGGAGCCGCTGCAGCCGCTGCAGCCGTGGCCCAGGCGCGCGCTCGGAGGCTGCCGGCATTGGTGCCGTCGCAGCCCGAGGCGTGGCTTACGATCTGCTCCTCCTTGAAGTAGAGGAAGCAGAGCGGGCACTGCACGCCCCACTGCTGCGAGGAGCTGCCAGAGCTGGCCGGCGGCGGCGCGGCGGCCGGCGGGGCGGCGGGGGGCGGGGCGGCGGCCGGCGGCGGGGCGGCGGCCGGCCTCGGGCGGGCGGTGGGCGGCGGCGGGTGGGAGGGTGGTTGGCGGGAGGGCGGCGGGACGGAGGGCGGTGGGACGGAGGGCGGCGGCGGCGGCGCCATCTGCTCCGAGGAGAGCATCACGTGGGCTCGCTCCGCGCGGGTGAGCAGCGACTCGTGCGGGGAGCACTCGACACCGAGGCAGTCGCAAGCCTCTTGGACGACGGCGGCGGCGTCGTCGCCCGTCAGCTCGAGGTGGTGCTCAAAGGCACGCAGCAGCTCGCGGAGCCGCTCGTCGTCCGCCGACAGGGCGGCGGCGGCGGGCGGGTCGCCGCCGCCGCTCGCGCCCCCTCCCTCCTCCTCGTCGTCCAAGCCTCCCTCCTCCTCCTCCTCCAGAACCGCGAGGCAGCGGCTGATCTTCTCCTCGACGGAGCGCCCGCCCTCCTCGCCCACCTCGAGCATCTCGCACGCCTAGTCTCGGGTAACCTCGGGTACCCTCTGGAAATCTCGGGCAACTCGCCCACACCTCGAGCATCTCGCACGCCTTCGCCGCGAGGACGTCCGCGCCGAGGCCCGGCAGGCCGAGCTTCTCGCGCAGCTGCTGCGCCTTGCTCTCGAGGGAGGCGGCGGCCGCGGCCGCGGCCTCCGCCTCCTCGGCCGTCTTGCCGGCGGCGACGGCACTGCTCGCCGCCTCGCCCGCAGCGCTGATCGCCGTGGCCTCATGTCCGTTCCGCATCGCAGCAGTCATGGCCTTCGTCTTGGCCATCGCCGTCTTGGCCGACATGGGCTCGCTGCTCGCGGCGCGGCGGTCAACGATGCGGGGAGGAGGCGCCGCCGGCTGTTGCACGTCCGGCTGCATGATGGGCACCGGGGGCTGCGGCTGTGGCGCCGCTTGCTGCTGTGGCGCTGCTTGCTGTGGCGGCGGCGGCGGCGGCGGCGGCTCGGCTGCTGCAGGCTGCATGACGGGCGCGGTGTTTGACGTGGGCGAAGCCTGCTCGCCGAGTGCCTGCTCGATGAAGAGCACGGCCTGGCTCTCCTGCTCCGGCGTGAACTCGATTGGCGGGATCTTGAGGTCGACCATCGCGCGGCAGGCCAACTGGCGCGGATAACCGGCGTTCACCAGCCGGACCACGATCGACTCCTTCTTGGCCTGGGGCTGGCCGAAGCGCTTAAGAAAGCGCAGCTCTTCCCCTCGCCGCATCTCTGCATCCGCGGCGACTGCCTTGAGTTCCTCCGCGTCCATGTCCTTTATGTCGTCCAGGATGTACCCGAACTCGACCACGAGAAGATCGGCGTACGCGCCGAGATTGATCTCGCCGAGCGCGTCGCGGAGCCCATCCCCCCCGGCGTCCATTTGGCTGAGCACCCCTTGTTGGCGACCAGTTTGAGAAGAGGCCGGGGCCTTGATGGGGCCACTGTTGTTGGCGCCCCGCCAGCGCACTGCGTGTTTCTTTTTTGTAAATTTCTTCCGAGAATCCCACTTTGAGTGTGTGTGTGCGCCCAGGAGGGGAGGGCGCATGCGTAACGACGCTGCTAGAGATGCGTTTCGGGGCCCAGAGATAAAACTTCTGATGCCATGCATGACCTAGTAGTGTCCCCAGCTATGGGCGTGTCCACGTTGGAGCCAGGTGTGGTGTGGGCGCGAGAATAGCTCCGCCGTTAATGGAGGCAACCGATGCGAGTCGACTGGTGTGTGTCGTCGTGGTTTCGTATCAAGAATACTCACTCACTCACAATCCCACTGCCACACCCGCATTGAAGTAGCCCCTCTCGCCGCGAGCCACAGCCGGCGAGGCCGAGACCCAACTAAGCCTTCTGGCGCGGCAGGAGACGGTGTGCCGCGTGCCGCACACGCTCACGGGAACAGGAGCGGCGAGCTGAGGGCGGCGAAGCCGGCGACGACGCCCCCCTCGTTGACGGAGGCCTGCTTGACACGCAGGAGGTGGCCGGCGGCGCGGTTGAGGACCGTGCGCTGGCCGTCGCCGAGGAAGACGCCGTACACGCCGAGCTCCGCCGCGCACTCTCCCGCCACCAGCTGCCCCCCCTTCATCAGCACCGCCGGCGCGGTCGGCGGCCGGATCCGCTCCATGAGGATGTAGCCAGAGCGCTCCTCCTCGCCCATCGTCCGGAGCGCCTCGGCGAGCTCCTCGTCGAAGAGGTTGTTGCCTATTAATTAATAGTTAATTAATCAGTAGTTGATTAAGAGCTCCTCGTCGAAGAGGCTGCTGCCTGGTAGGGAGACAGGCGAGTGAGGGGGCGACCACGGCGCTGCATGCCTGCACCCCCCCCCACCCCCACCCCCCCCCACGAGTCGAAGGGCTATGAGTGCAGGCAAGCCGGCGGCACAAGCCGCGTCTTCTCGAGTGCAGCAGAGGGGGGCGGTGTGTTCCGCATCTAGAGGATGGTGCCGCCCCCCTCGCGCTGCGGCTTGAGGACGTACCCGGCCGGCGCAGCGAGCGCGTCTCGCACCGCCGCCTGCACCGCCTCCCCACCGCCCTCGTCCAGGCCGTACAGGCCGGCGAAGCAGGTGCGCAGCAGTGCCGCCTCCTCCGCGCCGCCGGCGAAGCGGGCCAGCGCCGCCTCGTCGGCGAGCAGCTGCTGCACCTGCCGCGAGGCAGATGGCGGGAGCTGGCGGGAGATGGCGGGAGAGATGGCGGAGGAGATGGCGGGAGATGGCGGGAGATGGCGCGAGATGGCGGGAGATGGCGGGAGATGGCGGGAGATGGCTGGAGATGGCGGGAGATGGCTGGAGATGGCTGGAGATGGCGGGAGATGGCGGGAGATGGCGGGAGACGACGCGGGCGCGCGAGATCGCCTTCTTGGTGCCCGCGAGGTGCTGCCCGATCGAGGGGCACTTGATGGCGTGCGATCGCTCGAGCAGCTCGCGGCCGGACCACTCGCGCTCCTAATGGAACGAGTCCGAGAAGGCTCAAAGAGAAACTCCTGCCCCGTCGCGGCCGCACCCCCTCGCGCCGTCGGGTAGTCGTTCGGCGTGTAGCCGGCGCGAAAGTAGACCACGGAAGCCTCCGCGCCTACAGGGAGGGATCGGGAGGGGGTGCAGGGACACCCCCGGCCCGGTAGGGCGCCACGGAGGCCTGCACGCCGTCCGGCAGCAACAGGCGCCGCTCCGGCCCGCTCAGCTTGCCGGCCGCCTCCACCTGCGGGTCGAAGGTCGAAGGTGCAGGGGGAGCAGGCTCCCAGCCCCTCGTTGGCAGCCGCCCCCGCCTCAGCGGCCCCCACAATCGGGGAAGAGCGGAACGGAGCTGACATGCGCTACTCTCGGCGATCCCGGCTAATCTCGGCTAATCTCGGCCAGTCTCCACCTCTGCCATCGTCATCCGGACGAGCGGCACGCCGTGCGAGCGCCAGAGGCAGGCCTCGATGCCGCGCTGGTCGGTGACGTTCCTCTCGGCGGGCTGAACCACCATGAGAACCTACAGAGGACAAGAAGAAACTCGTTAAGAAGAAGAGGTTCTTTTCCTCTCGGCGGGCTGCACCACCGCATGAGCACCTACAGAGGAACAAGCTCTCGGGATGAAGGAGAACGAGCGCAGCGAGGCGGGCCGCCCCACCCCCCGCAGCACCGCGCAGGGGCCCCCCTTTGGGGAGGAGGCCACGTAAGCGGCATGCGCCTGCTTCACAGCTGCAGCTGTGAAGAGGCGCGCCCCCTTTCCCACTCACGGCGCGTGCCCAGCCGCGCCTCCGCAAGGGCCGCCGCGATCTCTGCCTCGCACGGGTTCGGAGGGAGCCTGCCGCCGGAGCCTGCAGGAGGGCTCCGAGAAGGGTCCGAGAAGGGCCCCTCTGGCGGTCCGGAGGTGAGCCGGCCGTCAATCAAGCCGGCGGCGAGCGAGGCGTGCATGTCTTGCAGCGACGCGGTGTCGCCTGTGAGTTTGAAGGGAGAGGGTGGGACGGGGCGGTGCGGCCCCGCACGCACTCGTGGACGCGCGCAAGTGCAGTGGCCGCGCGGTTTGAAGACGGCGTCTTCACGCGGCGGAACGGCTTCCGCCGGCAAACTGAGACTTGTCTCCGACATCTGCCTCTGGCATCTAGAGGCGGTCTCGAGATGTGTGGAGATATGGCGAGATATGATCTTCCTCGGGCATCCAGAGGCGGTGAGATGCGGTGAGATATGGGGAGATGTGATCTGCCTCCGGCATCTAGAGGCGGTCTCGCCCGTCACGGGCGGCGCGACCCAGCGCGGGAGCAGCTCCGCGTGCATCGCTGAGAGCTTGCCCGACAGGGAGCCGAACGAGGACGAGATCGTGTTTAGCTCGACCTGCCGGAGCAGCTTATCTCTGCTCATCTCTGCTCATCTCTGTGTCGTATCGGGGTCATCTCCAGTCCTCTCTGATGGTCCTCTTCTCTGGTGGTCGAAGAGCTTGGCCCGCCGGGAGCAGGGTAGTCGGGGAGTGGGATCAGCCGAAACGGAGTGTCTACCCCTCCCCTGCGTGGTGAGGGTGGCCACAAAGCGGGAAGGCCTCCAGAGTCGGAGGGGCTTTGAGGCATTCTCTCGCGCGCTCGACCTGCCGGAGCAGCGGCGGCGCGCCGCCCGGCGGCTGGTGGACCATGTAGTCGGAGCGGTAGATGCCGAGCTGCAGCGGCTGCGTCGGGCCCTCGGCGTGCACCGACTCGGAGAGCTGGAGCAGCCGGCCAGTGAACGCGTCCTGCTTCACGACCGAGCGCGTGGCCGCGTGCAGCCAGTCGACATCGCGCGCTACGCGATCGACGAGCGCGTTGAAGGGGACCGCAAGGGCGCGCGACTGCTCGAAGAGCTCGCTCGGCCACGGGTACGGCAGCAGCGAGCACGGCGCGGGCAGCAGCGACGCGCCGGCACCGATGAGGATACCGCCCACGGCCTGCCAGGCGAGCGTGTCGGATTGCATCCGCGCAACCAGGCTGGCTGGTAGGCCGAGGAGGGTCTCGGGCGGCGCGGAAGAGTCCTCCTGCGCCCCGGCCGAAGCGAGGATGTCCGCCATCCAAAATCGATCGCCGACGAGCTTGGAAACAAATCCGAGTCCCGCTCGAGTAGTATGCTCGAGGTAGTATGAGACCGATCCGTCGCAGTTCTCTTGCTCCAAGCGCTTGCGCTTCGGCGGTTAGTGGTGCACTAACCTCCGAGAAACCCTTCGGGGCGCTCCTTATCGCAAACCCTGTCAGCAGAGTCCTCCTACGGGAATGTGATCTGTGATCTGTAAGGGTCCGCCCGCAGGCGCATTTTGTATACCGAGGCGGTGCCCGGTGCCGAACCTGTCGGACCTTAAGACAGCATTGTAGATCCCTGGGCGAGGGTGGTGGAGAGGGCGGTCCGTCGGCGCCAAACCACCTCCCACCGAGGCGGGCAGGTTCCACGCGTTCCCGGACCGCCCCGTTGGAGGTAGACCCTACGGGAATGTACGTATAAAGAGCTACAGTGGGTTGCGGGCATTAAGAAAACGTCGCATTAAGAAACCCTACCAAGAGATTTCCGCAAAAATCTAAGAAACCACGGCGCGCCGCAGGCGCGGCCCCGAGAAAAGGCCAGACACGAGTCTCGAGTGTGAACGGTAGGGTGCCCACAGGACCCAAAAGAAAATAGCTTTGCGGCTCAAAAAGGGACGCACGCGGCAAATCTGATGTTGGCCAGTTCCAATAGGAGCGAGGCCTCTTCCGTTGGGGGACCGAGTCAATAGGAAACGAGGGTTTCCCATTGTGTCCCCTTCGCGTGCGAGCGTGACACTGCACTTGGCGCCGAGCGCCCGCGGCTCAGACCTTGTGCAAGCCGACCCTCGGTGGGAGCACCGGTCCGGACCGATGGCGCTCGGTGTGGAGCAAGCAAGACCCCCCCCCCCCCCATCGGCGCGCGCCCGAGGTTCAAACGGCCGCCAGGAGCACCAAGAGGACTCCTCATGGCTGCTCCCAAGTGGGCTTCGACCGGCCTCGGCTGGGGGGGCGGGTTGTCCCGGTTGCGGATGCCTTCTGCAGCCCCCTGGGATGGGGACAGCACCCCAAAACTGCCCCACGGCGGCATACAGCACTGCCAGCCAGCCTCTTCCTCCTCCAAGGGCTGTACTATAGGCCATATTGCGCCGCCTCCTACTGGCAGCCGGGCGGGCGCGCGCGCCGCGGGCGCCTCGGCGCGCGCACGGCTCGCAAAGTTCGAACGAGTACTGCCGCCCGGCCGCCTCAAGGCTGCCGGACGGCAGTACTCGCCTCGCAAGGAGCGCACCGGCTGCTCTGGCTGCTGCGCCGGCGGCCGCTGCGCTGGCCGCTGCTGCGCCGGCTGGCGGGCGGTACGGCCGCCGGCGGCCGTTGCACCCGCGCCTTCCCTCGCGGGCGCCGTCGCGCCGCGCGCGCCCAACTCTGCTGGCACACGGCACACGTCGTCACACAGCCGCGGAGAACAGGCGGTGCAGCGCGCGAAGCGCGCGCGATCTCGTACTTTTAAGGCTGGATCCGGCCATTCCAAGGGTATACCTTTTGAGAATCCCCAGCGCCCACCCTCCTAGTCACACTCTCAATATCTCGACTGGCCAACACGAAGTGCTGCGATCGGGAGTGCCCCATTTTTTCTTTTCTTTTTTTGGGTCCTGTGGTGGGCACCCTATGAACGGGAGCCCCAGCTCAAAATTTCTCTTCGCCTGCGGCGCGCGCACTTGTCACTTTCCAAGTCTACGGTGTTCTGAGTGGAGTGGAGATGGAGGCGTGTGTGCGTCTTCCCGTCATCCAGAGAGCCGACTCGGCGGCAGACTCTGGCATCGCCCTCGCGGACCGCAGCTTACCTACCTCTTACCTAAAATCCTTAGGGGGCCGGCTCTGGCCTGAGTGCCGGCCGGAGCTAAGAAACCACGGCGTGGGGTGGATGAGGGCTGTGGAAAGGCCTAGAAACGGCGCGCGCGTGCGATTTCTTCATTTTGAGTGCGCTCGGTTGTGAGGTCGACCACGGACCAAGCAGCGCCTAAAGGGCGTGCAAAAATGGCAGCTGTCGCCGACCGACCGTGCGACCTGTTCGCCTCCAGCCCCCCCTTGGTCCCGGCCCCCCCGCCGAGGGCGATGCTCCACGACCCGTACGAGAGGAGCCGTGCCAGTGCCTAGATTAGATATTCTTACCTTCTTGCCCCCCTCCGAGACTGGAGACAGTCACCACCCGTACACAGGAGAGATGGGAGTGCCCCCCGCCCCCGCTTGCCCTGCCTGCGCAGGATAGCGTGCCCCGATAACGGCGACACTTAGCGAGGGTCACTGCGCAAGGAGGGGGTGCGTCGCCTTTTCTTTATCCTCTCGAGGGAATGTTCTCTCGACGCCCATGGCCTTTTTCTGAGGTTTCGTACTAATGACGTCCTTCTTGGCACTTCGGGCGTCGGTTGTGCGTATCTGTGGTGTCTAATTCCCCCGGTAATGTGTTCGGGTATCGGTCGTTGAGTGGACGCTATCTCTAACCATTTGATCTACGTTTGCCGACTTCGGCCGACGGCCTCTCGATGGTCGAGTGGCTTCCGGATCGAATCGGCGACTATGACCCTTATATTTTTTTTCACACCTGGCGGGCCCAATTTTGCTCAGATGCACCTCCGAAAATTCGAAATCGCGTCCTCCACGCTTAGCGCTTGCACCTTGTGATTTTTGGGTCAAAAATCGTCCCGATTTCATAATGTTCGTTCGTACGTGCATCCGCGGCGCCCAGCGCGGTGCCAGCGGCTCCCATACCTCTAAGAGGCCACCCACCTCCGTATAGACCCTTATATCCGCGGTTTACGCCCAATAGAGGCAGCTGCAAGAGGGCCCGGACGGGCACTGCGGCACACACTGCTCGCTGCTCGGCCATGCGGTAGCGTCTGGTGATGCCGCCCCTGCGCGGGCGGGGGCGTCTCGCTCGGCAGCAACTGCGCCGCGCAGCGCAGGTTCGAGGGTCGCGGTGGGTGGGTGCACTGGAAGACGTAGCGGTCGAGAAAGCGCTCAGCGACCGCTACGTCTCGAGGATGGAGCCGTCGCGCGGACCCGACCGGCCGACCGGCAGTAGCAGCAGGCGCCGGAGGGCGCGGGAGGCAGCGGCGACACCTCGGGCCAGAAGCGCGAGCCCTAGGCTGGTGAGGGGGCCCGCTCATGCGTAAACGGCTCTGGGACTTAGCTAAATCGCGCATCGAAATCGGGACGATTTTGCCAGGGCACCGTCACAAGGTGGCATGCGTCCGTTTTTCGTCACGGGTGTGCAGTGCCTAGATAAGTCTGTGTGCTGTGTGGTGCACGCCCTCCGAGCGGGGCGGGGGGTCTGCCCGTCGGGTTGCTGCCCTAATCCCACCAGGGGTTGACTGCTCTATTTATTTATTTGGCCTGGCGCGCACGCTCTGGCACTTCTGGCACTAACACAGGTACACCACGGGAGCCGCCTAAGCGACTCCAATCTCCTGCGAGGACGGCGGGCGAAGGCGCCGGGTGCTCAGAGATCAGAGTTGCACGCACGTGTGGCAGACGGATGGAGGCTCTTGACGTCCCCATCAATCACTGCTGCCCGACCCACGTGTACAGGGCCACAAACAGCGTCTAAGTTGACGGGTTGGAGGGAATCCCCGCCCGTGCCGGGAACAGTTCGTCCGAGTCATGCGGGAGCCAGGTGTCCCAGCTCGCGTCAAATCCGAGGAAGCGCACCTTTGCCTTGCGTGCGCGGACCGCGATCACCTTGGCTTCCCACCTAGCAGTGGGGTGGTCTGGCGGCGCCCATGCCACCTCCACCGCCTCACCCTTGGTCCGCTTCGTCGAGCGCCACAATGCGGAGGGCCGCTCCTCGTAAGGGCGCAGCTGCGTGAGTGGCCTCCACTCGTCTTCACCCTCGTCCTCGTACCCGCGATAGCGCACGAGCACCAGCCCGTTGGCGGCGCTGAACGCCAGCGCGTCGGCCTGCCACCACGCGTGGCGCATCTCGTCCGCATTGTCGAGCTTGTTGTCGTCCGCCCACCCCTTAGCCTCGAGCCCGTCGCGCCCGCCGAGTAATGCTCGGTAGAGTGCCTGCCAGTCGCGCTGAACGCCGGGCAGGGCACCCTGGAGGCGAACCCGGCGGCTGAGCGCAGAGCACCAGAGCTGAGCGCGGTGCCGCGTGTACACCTCCAAGAGCGCAGCGCAGGCGGCGGCGCACGCCACGAAGCTGGCCGGCGGTGCGCTGGCTGCGAGGTGCTCGAGCACGAGGGCGTGTATCTCGGCGGGCAGACCCATCAGCCGCTGCACGCGCCGTCCGTGGATGAGCTTGTGCCTGGGCCGCGTCCTTGACGCCGTCGCTGGTTGTGCCTCTCTACTCCCTTCTACGGCTGCATTCGACATCTCGACCGCCTGGCGTCCCGCGTACTCGTCCTCCGCTGCATCGGTCGCAGCCGATGCCTCCGCGCCAAGATGGCGCGCGTACAGCAGCGCACCCTCCTGCGCCGTCGCGGCGTAACCGAGGTACTGCTTTGCACCGCGCACCCATTTGCTCACGTTAAAGCCTCCCCCCTTCGATTTTGCGCACACGCCTTCGAACCCGGTGCTGGAGCGCGACGAGCGCACCAGTGTCAAGCCCTCTGCCGCCGCTGCCTGCTCCGCCTCCGCCGCCGTCATAGACTCGGCCGCCGCCCCTGCCGCTGCTGCCGCCGCTGCCGCCGCTGCCGCCGCTGCCGCCGCTGCCGCCGCTGCCGCCGCTGCCGCCGCTGCCGCCGCTGCCGCCGCTGCTGCTGACGCCTCCGTTCCCAGCTCGCGCGCGTACAGCAGCGCTCCCTCCTCCGCCGTCGCGGTGCAGCCCTGTGCCGCCGCTGCCTGCTCCGCCTCCGCCGCCGTCATAGACTCGGCCGCCGCTGCTGCCGCCGCTTCTGCGGACGCCTCCGTTCCCAGCTCGCGCGCGTACAGCAGCGCTCCCTCCTCCGCCGTCGCGGTGCGCACCACCGCAACTGGAGAGGATTCGAGCTGTTTGGGGGGAAGGGTAGGGTGATCCCGGGCTACCCCCTACCATACCGCGTTGGTGTCCAGTCCGAGCCTGGCTGTTCTTCACCTACCTACCTACCCCCTACCCCCCTACCCCTCGACACGTGTCTTGGGCTCGGCGAGCGAGGTTTGCCTCTCGCACCCCGTCTGTTTTCCTTTCCTTTTTTCTCTACAACATCCTCTCTTTTCCTCTCTCTTTTCCCCGGAAAACTCCGTGGAAATCGTCAAATTTTGGGCTCTGAGCCGAGTCTGAGGCTGGTTTGGGCCCAAAATCAGCCAAATTTTAGGCCAAATCGGCAAAATGCCGGGAATTTTGCGGAGAACCCGTGCATACTCGAGTACCTGGAATTTACCCTGCGACCGCCTGGGTATTTTTTCGATTTCCTCAATTTTGCCTCAGATTTTGCCCCAGACCAGCTCTCAGACTCAGGGAAAACAGCGAGTTTCCAGAATGGAGCACCAAACACCCTCTCTCTGTTTTCCCTGGAAATTTCCGGAAACGCAAAGTGCTGGGGACCCTCTGTTTTCCTTTTTGTTTTCCGGAAAACCTCGCCGAGCCCAACACGTGTCCAGGCACAGCGGCTACCCCCTACCCCCCTACTCACAGGTCTCCAGATTGCTGGCCCCTGAGAGAGAGTTGGCCCCTGTGACAGGCGAGGCGGCGCGGGCGGCGGGCGAGGCGGCGGTGGAGCTGTCGAGGTCGATGGACGGACCTTCCTACATACATACATACATGGACATGGACATGGACATGGACATGGACATGGACATGGACATGGACATGGACATGGACTGCTCGATTGAGGCGCCGGCGCCGGCGGGCGAAGGCGGAGGGGGGAGAGAAAGATTTTTATTAACCAACAAGAAATCACCATTTTCTCTTCGGAGGGGTGATGAGGTTGATGGTCTCCATGACAGGTTGGCCGCTTCGAGAACCTAACGAGCAGGCTAAAACGACCAGGCGGGACGCGGCCCACCGAATCGCTAAAAGAGAGAAATCACTATCGGGACTATGAAAAATGAATCCTTCGTCACAAAAGAAACTCTCATGGCGAAATTATCGCGCGCGCATCGTCGGCCAGTTAACACCACGCTGGCGCTCGAGGGCGAGGACGGACCTCTGGCGTCCCTCGAGCTGCGCAGCGTGGGAAGCGATCACCGGTCGCGACTAAGGACTCGGTGCTGCACGTCTCGGCGGCCGGGCGCGTGCGCACCGTGGCAAGCTGTGAAGGCGGCGCCGGCGTCGCCGTTGGCCCGTATGGGAGCGCGCTGTTTGCGTGCGCACGCACACTTATCTAATGTGCGGACGCGGTGTGTGTCGCCGCCCTGTGCGGCGTGTGCGCGCCCTCTGAGCTCTGTCCGGCGAGGATGTGTTCGCGGGTGCGCAAATTTGACGACCAAAACTTTCCACCGCGAGCTATCTTAGGTTCTCTCGATCGCTTCTCCATCATGCATGCAGACAATAAAAAAGAACAATCGACAAACAAAAGGCGCGTCGAAGCGAGACGAGGCTATACCCCGATGAGACAGAGCACGGCACCACAGGCCAGGGAAAGAGTTACCCTCTCGCACAACACTGTGCACGGGACGCGCGACAGGCCAGGGAAAGAGTTACCCTCTCGCACAACACTGTGCACGGGACGCGCGAGGCACAAGAAAAGAAAAAAGAAAGCAACTTTCTCATGCCACTCGGCATCCGCAGGGGCTCAACCGAGCCGCCTTGCCGTTCGGAGGCCACTCCCCCCCCCCCTCCCCTCTCACCGCCGGGCCTTGCCACCACTCGCCTTACTCTGCTCTCCACCTGCTCCACCTGCAGGCGCCGACTCCGCTCGGAGTCATCACCATGGGCTCGCTTGCGGACGTCACCCCGTCCAGGGATTACTACCGCACCGTCTAGCAGTGGCAGCTCAAGGCGTGGCAGGAGGTCTTTGACGAGACCTCTGCCTGCGAGAAGATGCCGGGCATCAAGCAGTTCAACACGGTCAACGTACAGGGCCTCACGCTGGGCTGCCCGGTCAAGACGGGTCAAGTTTCAGTGGGCTGACGGCCAGTCCGGCGACGCACGCGGCCTCTCCCTCGTACCCTACGTCTTGACGCCCGACTGCGCGACAACGGTGCCACTGCCTGCTCCCTACGAGCTACGTTCACCCCTCTCGCACCGCACACACGTGGTTCCAACCCACCCGATCACTCACCCTGCCCTCCCCCGTGGACCTGCAGAAGTACTCGCCCCTCCCGCTCGGGACCTCCAACCCCGACAAGCAGATGCACCTCCCGCAAAAGTGCTGCGGCTCGTGCCTCACGCAGCGCACCGCGCTGTTCGACGCGACGAGCGTTGCGGCGCAGTCCTTCATCCTCTCACCCGTCTTCAAGCCCTTTGGTGTCCCGCCGCCCGCGTACCACCTCTCGCCAGAGACATCCATTGCTTTCAGCGGAGACGCCGCCGGCCCAGCAGCCACCCGCATCGGGTCGCCCTTCGCCAGTCTTGCCGACATGACGTTCCGCATCCAGACGGCGCCACAGCAGGGCAAGGAGGAGACCTGCCTCTTCATAGACGGGGGGCCAGTCGACAACACCGCCATCGCCTCGACGGTCGCAAAGGGTGCACGAAGCGTTGTGGCGGTCATCACAAACTTCGGGCTGTCCCCTTTCGACCAGCTTGGAAATTTGCGTGGTTCGAACAACTACATCCAAAATCTCCTCGCCCCTCTTCGGTGCAGGGACGGCTCCTCCCGCCACACCCGCGCAGATGAAGGGCTACCTCGTCATGAACCAAATCTTCAACAAGGGGGGGGCCGGGTGCCCCCCCCCCCCCCCCTCCCCCCTCGCCCCCGCCCTGAGCTTCCACCCTGTGCACAGTACGAGGACAACTTCGACCGCGCGCGCACCAAAGCGCTAGCTCCGCCGCGGGATGGAGCCGACTGGAGCTATTACCGGGATGGAGCCGACTGGATGGTCGGGCGTCCGCTCGAGGCGCTCGTCGAGCAACTCAAGGACCGCTTCTACTGCGGCGAGCCTCTCGTGGCCACCCTCGCGGTGTTCGTGAAGACTTGCCCCCAAACCGACGCCCCCCCCCGCCCCCCTCCTTCTGACCCTTAAGACCACTCACCTTTGTGTGAAGGGGCTCAAAGTCATCGACAACCCGTACCATGGCACTAGCACAAAGCAAGGCAGCGTAGACCTGACCGTGATCTTGTACTCGCCGCCCAAGCGTTGGATGGTCAACCGGAACCCGGAGCTCAACCCCGAGGCAAAGGATTACGTCTGCGCACACCCCGACGCGGACGCCGTGGTCACGGGGATGAAGCCGCTTGGCCTTTACCCAGTTTGTCCCTTCTACCCGGCCAAGCACAACGTGTTCGACAAGGACAACGGGAAGGCTCCGTTCAAGAATTTCCCCAATCACTTTTTGCCGTTTCCCCTGATCGCCCTCTCTGACTCGCAACTCAATCTCTACGGCTACTGTGGGGACTACATTGTCGAACACTCCAGCGCTCCTCGATCGACTCTTCAAGTCGGACCCGTGAGATGCATAGCAGAGCAGCACTGCACCAGTGCAGCTGGCAGCAGCCGCCCCGCAGAGGTCTATCGAGATCGTGTGTATACTAATCGACCTCTCAGTGTCTAGTGTCTCTTGGCGATTGGGCCGTGGGGTTCGCGAGAGAGGGACTCCGAGAGAGCTGTGCTTTGTGCTAGGCTTTGTGTTGATATTGAGACCTTGTCATGGACCTTGTGAGTTGTGTACATTTCCATGCAAGACCTGCCTCTTTGACTTTGTGGCAATGTGCTCTGGGAAAATTCAAAGACGACTCGCAACCACGGTGCGAAAACGAGAGGGGCAAAATACCAGCGTAATGGCGGGCCTATTTGACAGTCGTCCCGGCTCCGGCCAAGCCCCAATCGGGTCCTTTCATACCAGATCTGGGCCGAGTGAAGCCTGAGTGAGTAGGCACACGCCGCGGGTGAGCACCGGAATCTCTCGGCCACTCACTTCCGCAGGTCGCCGCCTGCTGGCGCAGCGCCCGGATGGGCCATATCGAGCGGCGGGCGCAGATCTACGCGGCACTGTATTGGGAGCGGGTTGTTTCGCCCCAAGTGCGAGCACAAATGATGTGCGCGGCCGGCGAGGCGCTCTGCGACGCCAGCCAACTCGCGCTGCCGACCTCAGACGGCTTGGCTCGGCAGGGCGGTGACAGCGACCGCACGCGAGCTGCACCCCACCGCCCGCCTCTAGGCAAAACATGCCGTCGGAAAGCGCTGTGCGGAACAGCAGCCGTGGGCGCTCCGCGTTTTGGGTGCTCCAGCGTTCTGCGCGAGCATCTTCGCACGATACGCTCGGCTTGTCTGGTGAACTCGAGCGAGAACACACACACAACACACAACTCCGAGCAGCTGCTCACGCGCGCGCGCCTCTCGCCTCCTGTTCAGTCCCAGGGACGGTTTGTGTAGTATTACCTTTAATAAACCAACCACAAGCGTGACACGACATCAGCTGGACACCCGGGACAGTGTGCACTCGCGCCAGGAGCTCCGCAAACAGGGCACAGCGGGAACCAGCGCGGGCCGCGCGCGTGTGTGGGTGGGGGCACACGCACGCGCTAGACTGTGCCGGTACGGACGGATTCTACTGAAACGCCACCGGCTGGTCGCACCAGCCGCTAGCGCGCAGGCTGTGCCGGACAGGCTCCGCCGCCCACGGCTGCTTGAGCGTCTTCTTTGAGTACGCAACCAGCGCGTGCGCCTCTGCCATCTCGAGGCGCAGCTCCTCCGTCGGCGCCGTGTACGGCATGATGTCGCCCGTCGCCGAGTTGATGCCCACGGTGGTGAACTCGACCGTGAACTTGTAGGAGCCGGGGGCAGGCGCGTCGGAGCCGCCCGCGCGCGGCTCCACAAAGGAGAGGCGCATCGGCGTGCGAGCATTGCACGCGACGAGCAGCATGTTGGAGAGGCGTCGCGCGCTCTTGATGCGGAGCGCGCCGACGCCGTGGGTAGGCCGCGACTCGTGCAGCGACACGATCCACGCGGCGTGCTCCTGCGAGGTGATGGTGAGTGTGTGCGCCCGCTGCCAGTGGTCCTCCTTGACCGCAATCTTGGCCTTTGTGCCGCTCGGAGGCGTAGAGAAGTACTGCAGCATCGCGAGCGCATACTCGCGCAGGGAGGCCTCCTCGACCAGGACAGCAACCCCAAACATCGGGCCGGTCCTCTCGAGCAGCTTGAAGGCGACCCGGTCGCGCATCTTGGTCACGACGTAGAAAAAGGATTGCGGGAGACGTTCGCGCTGCGCATGAAAGGCCCGAACAAACCGCTTGGGGATGTTGTCGAGGGGCTCCCACGTCCAACCATCGACATCGTAGTCTTCCCAGGCGGTCAGAAGCTCGATCCCCCCAGCTCTCTGCCGCCACGAGACGACCTTCTCGACGTTGTAGCTCTCTGGCAGCAAAAGCCGTTTTCGGCCCCGCCCGGACCTGCGGCGGGTTTGGTTGGATTCCGTGAGATACCGATTTTTCTGTCACTAAATAATTGGCGTAGTGCTTGCCATGAGGGCGTTGAGGGTTGGGGGGGCGGCGTTATGCGCCACATAAATCGGGAAGTACCATCCTGTGCGCCGCAAAGGCCGATCGCGCCCGACGGTGGGGCGGCTCACCGCACACACACAGTTGCGAGGCCGAGCCCGCCGGGCGCGTAGAGCCGAGTGGCCGGGGGGGAGGCGGACCAGGGAAACCGCGCGCGGCAGTGCGAGGTGACATGTGGCGCGGTCACGGCGGGGGAGACGGCGCGGTGCTAGGGGCGCGGAGCGCACATTGTAGCGCAGAAAAGGGCCTTATGAGTGGGGTAAACGGACCAAGGCCCAGCCGCACCGTGACAGAGCACCTCCAGCAGAACCACTCCCATACAGTGAAGGCACTTGCCACAGAACGCGTGAAGGAGCCACCCAGAGCCCTCAGACAGCATGCTCCTCCGGAACGAAACCTCCGCCCATGCGCCCTGAGCTGTTGAAGCCTCGACCCCCCCCCCCCAAACACACGTCACATCTCACATCGCCGCTCCTCTCGTCAGTCCTCTCACTGCGCCTCCGTCCCGTGATTTCGACCCTCAATGTCCTTCCGCCGCCTCCGCGATAGCCAGCGCCACCTCGTGCGTCTCCAGCGTGACCGCAATCCCCATCTTGCCCGCGAGCGCCGCGCGCAGCAAGGTGTCCTTGCACTCCTCTAGCGTCGGCGCTCCCGCCCCATGATGCACGCCCGAGCCAACGAGCATGTCGGCGTACGGGTGCGGCGCGGGCGTTGAGTCGACGATGGAGATGGCCCAGAAGGGCGTCTCGCCACGTGTGTACCCAATCGTCAAGTACGACATCGTCCACACTTCATTTGCGTCGCCAGACGGCGCGGCCGCCGCGACCTCCTCGTGTGGCAGGGATATCCGTACCGCCCTGCATCTTGCGCCGGTTGGCCGCCTTCAGTTTCTCCTTGAACTCTGGCTGCGCTTCCAACACCGCGTGCAGCTGGGACTCGAGTGCCGCGACCTCCGTCTCGGCCATGGATGCGAGCGCCCCCGCGGTCGAGCACTCGCGAGTTGTTGCCGGGGTATCCAGCATCGACACCGTCCGCACTCACCATCCTCCGTCACGTCTGAAAATGGCAGCGGCAGCTGACCCGCTCGGATGATCATCCGGGCCGCAGCGTAGTCGTGCTCCAACAGCGCAAACCGGCTTGCCGCATCACGATCCGCGCGGGCGCGTGTGAGCTCCTCGAGAGCGCGTTGCTGGCCGTGCCGGGCGGCCAGCAGAAGAAGCTCCCGACCCGAGGTCTGCACCAAGAGCAGGAGAGCCGCCGGCGTAGCGAGGGGGGGTCACCAGCTCGAATGGCGGCTTCGCAGGCGGCAAGCGTCCTGGCCGCAACCTCTGGGCTCGGAGGGACCGCGTTAGCCTGGAGCCCATACGTCCACGGAGGCACTGTGGCATACCTCACGCACTCCTGCAGGTGCCCCTGCTGCTGCCAGCGGATGCGGCACTGCGGGTGCACCAACCGCCGATCGCCCAAGCAACCGCACGGCGCCACCAGTTGCGGCTCAGTCGTCTCTCAGTATTGCAGCGCCTGCTGCGCCTTGGCGCTGCCGCCCGCGGGCTGCTCCTCCTCCATTACTGCTGAGAATGATAGTGTAAGAGGAGGCAGAGTTTGGTCGCAGGGCGCTCGGGTCGCCTCGGAGCGGCCCCGCGCGGGGAGGTGGGTGGAGAGCCCGCCCCCGCGCCCGGCGCGCCGTTTTTCGCGCGCTCACCAAGCGGCAAGAAAAGTCCCGCTTGAGCGGTCAGCGGCAGCAGTTTTGTCTTGATTCTCTTTGTGTGAGTCAGACCGTGCGCGCGTGCGATTTCTTCATTTTGAGTGCGCTCGGTTGTGAGGTCGACCACGGACCAAGCAGCGCCTAAAGGGCGTGCAAAAATGGCAGCTGTCGCCGACCGACCGTGCGACCTGTTCGCCTCCAGCCCCCCCTTGGTCCCGGCCCCCCCGCCGAGGGCGATGCTCCACGACCCGTACGAGGGCATTTCTCTCACGGTCGACGCGCAAGAGTGGCACCGGCTCGACGTGGATCGGGCGCTGATGTGGACGAGGGTCCGCGTCCTCTCCAACCAAGCCTCCTTCGCGCTGCGTGTCCGCGTCCGCCCGCCCGACGGGGAGCGGCTCCCCGATAAGCTCGCCCTCAAGGCCACACTTGTCGTCGACCGCCAGGGGGGCAAGGACACCGGCGCGGGCAAGGACGCCGCCTCCGCCGCCGCGTTCACAAAACCGCACCTCCTCGTCTCCGAGGCGGGGGAGGCGCCGCTGCTGCTGGACGCCCCGCCGGGCCGCCACTCCCGCGCCGCCCTCCTCCCTGCTGCCCCGGTGATGGTCGTGCCGGACCGGTCGGGCGGCGGCGGCGGCACCGCTCACTTTTCGCTGCGGCTCGGCGACTACGCGCTCTCCGACCGGTGCGGGATCGGGCGCTCGCTGCTCAAGCTCCTCATCACGCCCGAGATCGCCACCTCCGCCGACATGGAGGCCATCTGCGCTGGAGGTCTGCGGCCTGTGTGCCACGCCCCCCTGCAGCCGGGCACCCCGCGGCACGCTCAATAATTAATGGCTAGGCGGGCCTCGGTCGTGCACGACGTTCACCGCGCCCTTTCGAGCCATCACGCGCCTCCGCCTGCAGCCCTCGATCATGCACATGTACCCGCCCCCCGGCTCCAAGCCGTCGGGCAAGGCGGTGCGGATGCCCCCCCCCTGCCCCCTCCCGGCAGCCTCGCGCGCCGGTGCGC